TCCTTGAGTCTTTTTAGGGTTTGACCGACGCATAATGCCGAGGCACCGCTGCAGCGTTTGCCGTAACGACCTCAAAGCTTCACCTCGGTAACGGGCGAAGGCGGGCAGTGAACATGGGCAGCATGGAGAGGGCAAGGGTCGGAGAGACCCTCCGGGATAGCAAAGTAAATCTCCGTAACAAAAATGGATTGGACACCTCTCTCTATACTACACATATATTATATAATTCCATCGACTGGACCGGTGAAAGTCATGTGTGGGTTCTGGCAGCTTCCCTTCTGGGTTCCACCTCTCCGTTTAGAGAGGGCAATGCGCGGGTGAGAAGCCTTGTTTAAATGGATGATGGGAGCTTACCAAGAAAGAACTTGACAAACAGAACATGCTCTGCTAGTAGAGAAGCATTGTTGCCGGGCCTCCACCACACCATGTCTCCCATGTGTTGGCAAGAAATGGGGTGCATACTCTCCGACGGTCTGGGCCTTCGAGTCTGAAACCCTAATCTATGGGCGCTCTGAGAGCAGTGGAGCCATGGCCTTGCTCAAATGAAGCATTTTTACGGTACACCTTTTTAAATGGAAGTGGTTCACTTGAACATGGATTGTTTCAGGGAGGGTCAACATACTCCCCGTGGGATTTGATTTGTTCGAAGCACGAACTCAGTTGACTAGAAATCCACTCTCTGAGTCGAGCTCACCAACTGGAAGAGTCTCCCCATGTCCAGATGCTTGGTCGTCATGCGGCCTGGCATGGCCTGGCCTCCAAATCCCCGCGTGCAACGCAAGGGGGGTCCCGAGTCCCGAGTCAAAGAAATGGACATGGATTTCATCCGCGTACTCGTGCCCTCATGATCTGGGAAAGCACCCACACGCTCCCGACGGCAGGTGGCTGCTCACAAAGTTGCCACCTCAGAAGACACTGCCAGTTCTGGAAAGAACCCGAAACACGGACATTGGGCAAAGGCATGGAACAAACAGCTGGCAGGACTTCTTCCAAAACCACCCCTGCAAAGAAGAAGCCTTGCAATTTGCTTCTCGAAAAACTAAGGTCCCATCTCCCAGAGGCTCGCTCATCTATTTTGGGGGTCTCCGTCCTGTGCCGTCCAGATGGGCTGGTGGACTCCTCTCTCTCTCGCTCTCTGTCTCTGTCTCTCTCTCTCTCTCTCCATCCATCCATCGCCCTCTTCATGAGATTAGCCAGTGGCTTTTTGCACACACCAAACCGAATCTGAATATAATTAGTTTAGCTATTAGCCATAGGGTGCCAGTGGCATCCATAGGCCAAGTTACGCTATCCCATCGTTGCTCCATTTGGAGCATTCCAATGCTTCCAAACATCTCTGGGGCACCCGAGCTGAGATCCATCGATCGCAACTTGGGCAGTGGAACGCTGGGCCCTTTCGACCACCAGCTGCCCAAGACTTGGAGGCTGGAGTCCACCAGTCGCGCCTGCACTAGGCCTTAGCTTTCCGAAGCCGGGTGATACTTTAAACATACTAGTGCAGGAACCTACTAGTAGCAAGAAGCTAGTAGTGACAAGGGCATCGCTACTAGGAGCAAGGGCGCTAGCAAGAAGGTGTAAACCAATGAGATTGAGACATTTAGATTTTAAGTTATATAAACCAAAGCAGATTCAAATGACATTATCCGGGGCAAGCAGGTTGAAGGATGTGGCAGGTAGAAGTGGAAGGCTGAAGAGCCGACCCATGCTCTTCGTGATGATGCAGGAACAAGATGCCTCAATTTACAGTCCTGTTCTGTATCTTTTTCTTTCTCTTTCTCTTTCTTTTCTCTTTCTCCTTCTCCTTCTCCCTCTCTCTCTCTCTCTGTGACGCTACAAGAAATTGGGCATCTCTCTGCCAGTCGCTCTTGAAGGATCAGCGATTTTCTGCCTTCTTTTCCTCATCTCATTCGTCGACATCTCATACAGAAAGCCACGTATCGCCACAGGATGCCACAGGACATGAATCAAGAAGTGGCATATGTTGGGTGAGCAGCACCGTGCAACCTTGGTCGATCCAGGTGGGTGGATCTTGGTCCCAAAACTGAGCATTCTTGATCCAAGCCACTTAAGTTCTCCAAGAGTGGCAAGTCCAAATTCTCCAGCAGCACCGCGAGAGCTTCGCCTGTCGACACCCAAAGCCTCATGGATCCATGGTTCTGCTGTGTGGACTGAGGCGCGAGCCCTCCAAAGAGGCAGCGCCCAAATGCAGGATGCGAAGAGACTTCTGCAATGCTTGAATCACCCCACCTGGCGCGAGGAAGCTCTTTCGGGTGACGCAGAAGGAGAAGAAAACAAAAAACACCAAGAAGGAAAAGCAAACACTTGACAATAAGCACGCTACCGCTACCCCTTCTGCTATTCCCTTATTAAGTCTACCAAGCATTACCAAACCATCTTTCTCCCCTCCACCATCCGCCACCCCCACCGGTTGCTCCGCGCCTAAGACGCGTCGATCTCCGCCCAGCTGGCTCGCGCGGAGATCCAGCTCCTCCAGTTGAGGCGCCGCAACGCTCAAGCGACTGAAGGCTTCGGGCCTCGGGGGTTCGGGCACGCGCGCTACGCTCCCACCGGCGCCGGCGAAGAGGCTTCGACTCCTCGGAAGTCTCTCTCTGTGAAAGCTGGAGCCATCGGAAATCTGATTGTTTCTACAAAACAAGATCGAGTCATCTGGAGCCTGTAGAGTGAAGAAGGCAGCTTCTTGGATTTGCTTAACGCACCACGAAACATAGGATTAAGTATATAAATAAATATAATATTAAACCGCTTCCCCGGAAGTGGATTAACCCAGTTCGAAAACATCAAACATCCACCCGTTCTGCGAAAAGCACCCCATTCCGATCCCGATCCCCACCTGCCCCCGTTATCCTCGCATGTTTCAGAAGGACCGAGCCGACCCCGGCGAACGAACAACGCTCCGGCTCTCTGGACGTTCCGCATGACACCCAACGGATGCTCGCCAAGCTGCGGGAAGTCTTCCTGAAGCGGCGGGAGTGGCGAAACCCACGAAGCAAAGGAGGAGCGGAGCGTGTGAGTTCGGCCAAGCGACCGATTCCGAGCAGGCCGGTGTTTTGGGGTACCTGTTTTGGAGAGGGGGTGGCCCTGTTCAACAAAGACCCTCCAAAATCCAAGGAGGAGCAAGAAGACAAAGAAAGAAGGAGTTTGTAAGAGGAAGAGTTGTGATTTGTCCAGCGTCTATTCAAATCCTTTGAGAGGCTGTGTCACCTTGGGTTGGGACAGATTTAAATATTAATGCTATGAGACTCAACAGGCAGCGCTTTGTCCTTCCATAATCGCATGTCAAGCATGGTTAATGATCGTCGAAACATGTTGCAAGCAAAAAATGGAGTATATAAACCCTTTCAAGCCCACAATTCGTTATCCTCCAAAGGCGTCCGAGGCGTCAAAGAAGACCACATCTTCACAGGAAAGAATCCCATTTGTCAACGCGCCAAGCCCAGCGGAGTCATCCACTCATCTTGAAGAGCTTTCTGTTTCAAACTAGTTCAGACTTATGTCCAGCACTTCCTACAAACTGCCAGCTAGATGTCGTGTCCTTTCTTGTCCCTGTTCATCCTTTTATTTATTATATAGTGTCTGTGTGATTCTGTGTGTGTGCAAAATTACTGATAATTCCTGACGCTTCGCGTCGACCGCCGCCCACACCTTCTCTTTTTTTTCGGTCGTCTGGGGAAAGACTGCTGGAGTGGACAGGGGAGGTCGGGAGTGGTATCCAAAGAGATGGCTTGTTTGCCGCAGCGTCTATGGCCATGTTGCGGCCGAGTTACGCACAAGTTCGCTCGTTTGGTGGCCATGTTAAAGCCAATTCAGGCTCCAAGTTCGACCGTTTTGTGGCCTTGCCCCCGCTTGGTTAGTCCACATTACATCATGTCAAGGCTAGCTTGATCGTTTGGTGACCCTGTGTTGAGGCTACGTAAGTTTTTTTGAAATAATGCTGGTTATGCGTTGCTGGTCAGGATGGTTTTTCAGCATCGTGGGTGTCCGTTTTTTGGCTTGTTTGACTCTTGCATAAATAGTCCAAAAATGTACCTCCAATAATGCTTGTTATGCGTTGCTGGTCAGGAGGGCTTTTCAGCATCGTGGGTGTCCGTTTTTTGGCTTGTTTGGGCTCTTGCAGAAATAGTCCAACAATGTACATCCAATAATGCTGGTTATGCGTTGCTGGTCAGGAGGGCTTTTCAGCATCGTGGGTGTCCTTTTTTTTGGCTTGTTTGGGTTCTAGTCCAAAAATGTACCTCCAAAACGCTCTCCCCCATGGCCCTCGAGGCGGAAGACGTTTTTCCCCGAAACCAAAAAAAGAGGCCCCCCCCCCAGCAGAGCTATGAACTGATTGCGATGTGATGATTGACTGACGATGATTCGAGCTTGACCCGCCCCTACCACGCCCTGCACCGCAAGCGGTGTGGGCGGATTATATATGTCTGCTTTCTCAGCCTCACACTCAACACTTGGAAGATCCTTGTTCATCTGCTGTGGTGGGGTATGCTACCACTGCGGCTCATGATGCAGGAATTCCATACTTCTCAGACGGTTTCACGCACGAACGGTACCAACAAATCATTCCCAAAACCTCCAGAGCAAACCGGCCATGGCCTTTTCACGGGGATCCACCCATTGGAGCATTCCAGAAGGCTCGTGCCGCGCGAGGAATCGCGCGCGTAAGGAGTCACCCAGCGGCTGTCGCGAAGGAGTTCTCAGCAAGCACCAGCTTTCGCAAGCGCGGCAAGGGCCTCGCCATCGTCAGTATCAAAGGTTCATGCAGGCACTGATTGCACCAGCACTCAACCAATATAAGTATAACGCCAACAACTTTAGCACCAGAACTCGCCAAGTGGTTCAAGTACCTTGGATTGGAATTGTTCATTGTACATGGCTGGGTCGCTAGCTGATGCTCGCTGTCTATTGCCGGGTAAGAAATCTTTGGAGATCAGGGCTTTCGCGTGGGGCGCTGCCTGGGGCGTGCCCTGGCCGGAACTGGTGGACGGCCACTGTTCTCTCATTCCGCGTCCACGCGGACCTACGAAAAGGACGACTCGTCTCCATGAGCACGACGATCCGCGACGGCGGAGGTCGCAGCGGTCAAGGTTCTCTTTGAACCGCCTGTCCTTTCCTTGCTGTGCAAAAGGTTGGAGCCTTTCCCTTGCTGTGCTGTTCCCTTTCTAGTCCACATGGTGGAATTTTCTGGGTGGTGCCTCACTGGGCAGGTGGCAAGTTTCATAAGACAACCGCATCCCTTAACATCAAGTGACCTCATACTTTTGCCGAGGGCGAAAATTTCACTGTGTGCAAACAAAGAGCTTTGACTCCAGGCGGTTACCGTTCGCAAATCGAAAGGTCCAAATAAAGATTCAAAAAGTTTAAAATCCCTGAGTCTCACGACTTGCACACATCTCCCATGTCGCTCCTCTCCTATCCCGCGGCTCCAGATAACAGAGATTGATTAGGAACTTGTACTGCGCGCGCTGGAGGGTAAAACATATCCCAAAACACTCCATGGGCCTGGAACATATGCCGCCCCATTGGCTCTTTTTCAAAGACCCAAACGTCAGCCAATATGCCAGTCACATGGAGTGTCTGAGTATGTAAACATCGCCACCCGCCCCGCATCTCCCCGCCCATCACCTGAGGTTCACCAAGACATCGTGCAGCCCACGGGGGCCGAGTTTGTTTTGCCTCGGGACTCGGGGAGATATAGGTGTTCTTGGAAGTAAGGCATGCATAGGCATGCAGCATCATTCACCTATGCCAAGTCTTACTTATGTGATCCAACTTGGAGCTCTATATGATTATGGTTCCTTCGTTTTCTATCCTTGAAGGGCCCTCTCCGAACCTACTCATTCCTTGTACCCGGTACCCGATGTCGCTGGGCAAGAATCAAATCCTCAGAAGCCAATGGGACCCAGAGATGATTTGAGCCTTCTTCAAAAAATGTTCTCCTGTTGCGTACGTGTTTTGTTTTGAAGTTCTATACTTCTGTTCTTACCACATCTTACAACATGATGTCAACTCAGATCTGCCGTCAGACTGCCTCTCTTTTCCCCAGGCGCACAAATGGCCCGGGCAGCCTCAAACCGAGACAGCCAGCGACCAAACGTCACCGGTTTTCCGGCCACACCGTTTTGACGCAGCGGCCCGAAGACGCAGCAATCCAGCAATCCCATAGGGCCCAATGCAAATGCCGGAGATGTGGAGGGGCAAGTGTGAACTTGCAGGGAAGACCCTGTTTTTCTCCACCTACCTACCCTTTGAGCTTGACTTGTAGCACGCTAGTTGGGGAACTTGCCGAATGAACCCCTCAAGTGACAGGTTTTAACCAGTGCTGTCAAAATCTCTGCTCACTAGGCCTTCACTAGACACTGAACTTCGGTTTCCAAAGCGGACCTAAGACGATGATCTCATACAAATCAGTGTTGAGGCCCCCCGTGTGGGGAACCCGTATCTATACTGACTAGCTGATTAGCTAGTCAGCTTGCAAGTCGTGAAATGCATACTGGATTTGTGTGTAGCAATCATGCAGCACGCGATTAAAACGATCCCCGCCCAAGAACGAATCACCTGAGAAACAATGCCAAGAATGTCTCAGACTCAGTGATTGCTGGCCTTTCTGCGGAGGCTGCTGTACAGGTCTTCGCCTCTCAGACGATGTAGTCCAGCCCAAAGAGCCGCCGGCGAACTTGTTCCACCAGGGCGGGCATCAAAAGGAAGAGTGGCCCCACCTGGCCCGTTCCGCGACTCGCTTCGGCTACTCCCAGAGGTAGAGAGTCAAGACACTCAAATTCAAAAGGGACCTATAAGTATTGGTTATTCCAATGCACATTCAAGATGCGATAGGCTCACTCGTCGTACAAACATCTGGGGTGGAAATCCCCCTGGTGTCAACGTGTCGAACACACCGGCAGACCTGTGGGGCTTGTCATGATCCTGCAAAATCAAGGTTAACCATTCTTCTGCACTGGGACAACCATCCCCCAAGAAGGTTAAAGGTTATCCGCCAGCTGGGTAGGTCTTTCAATCACCTATCTTGGCCTGACCAGCCACAACGCTCCCCTCTTCCGCCGAGCATCTCTCATGTATGCCGGCAGCCATCCACGGAAGAAACCCACAGGTCCAGCGTCGCGCCAAAGGCCCACGGCAGCGCCGAACATGCTGGTGCCGCCCTTGCCTGGAGGCTGGACGGCGGCGCCCTTCAGCGCCCCAACATGCATGGAGTTCTTGAGGAGGGATTCTTGAGACACCTGAACTAGAACCCTGCGTACGTACTACGTATTGGATGGGCCAACGCGGGCTGTTCAACCTCTACTAGGATCTGGACGAGTCCTTGAGTGCCCTCGTAAAACGCCGTCACAAAGCGCTGCATATCACTGTTCTCGTGTCGGTCTGCCGCCCACTTTGTTGGTCTGCCGCGGCCCCAATGGCGACAGAACGTCCAATTGCAAGCTCAACTTGTCATTGTTCCTTGAGCCCGCTTAGATCCTCAGCCTCGGACCTATTCTTCAGTCTACCCCACAGAAAGGTCTCCGTCTCAGTGTTTGATCACGCCGACCCTGCCTTCTTGCATCACTCGCGTCCGGATCACGTCCGCCTCAGCAAGTGGTCGGAGGTGCGGCAGCGAACCAAACCCCGTGCTCGGTTCGTAGACCTGAAGAGTGGTATCACCCAAAGGGATCCACTTTAATAACATACTCTAACGGATCCCCAAAGACATAAAACATGTTTATATATATATATACATACTGATATTCTATAGTTGTAACAATGAAAAACATACTGAAACTTTATAGCTATATATATATATACAGTTTTTGGTTTTCAGTCAAGGTGTGCGACCTCTTCCTCCCTTTCATCTACCAGAACCCTCTCATCAATTAATACCTCCATCTCAGAGTCAGAGGAAGGTGAATCCAAACTCAAGATTTCCCATTATGATACAAAACTGTGGACTCGTTAATCTAGATTCTGAATAACAAGCTTGAAAGAGGTATCGTTCCATCATTGTTCCATCCAAAAAGGGATGCGTCTTTGATGTCTTTAAATATCATCCGTCAATTCTTCGCAGAAACCAATCCCCACCCTTTCCTCCCATCTTCCGCCATAGAGGCGGGCGCTGTCACACTGGTGCCCACCACACCGGCCACCAAGCCGGCAGCCAGGTGGAGCTGCGGCCCATCCTGGCGTGGTAAGGACTCCAGGGGCGGCGGGCATCCGAAATCCAAGAACATCAGGTATAGGAATGTCCGTGAATTTCTTAAAATTTCTTCAACCCCCGCAGCTTACTATCCAAATGCAAGGGGTTATTCATCAAGAATTCTACTATAAAGAAAGAAGAAAGATGAAGAAAGCCTAGTCTGAGACTCGTGATTCCACTTTTTGGGGTGCCAGCCGGAGGTTCACCGACCAGGCGCCATCTCCCGGCTCAGCCGCCGAAATGGATGAGATGTTCGACCCACACCCCGCGCATCGAGCTCCTCGGCCCACTGGTGAGACTTCGCGAGGTGCTTCGTGTGCCTCGGTGGAAGGCCGTGTGACTTCGGCCACGCAGGTCTGTCGGGTGGGTTTGACACAGGAATGGAAGCACCGTGGTCTGGTGCAATGCAAGCCTCAGGCTCTAACAGCGTGGAAGGCATGGCAACCATGGCATGGTAGCTTCGGATCTAAAGGGGGGCAAGGGTTCTTCCTTCTTCTTCACACTTGGGGTCTACTAACAAGGGACCTTTGGTGTCCTACCAACCTCGTCTTCCCCCAGACAGTTTTGTAGTTGTCACTTGTTGCACCACGAAGGTCTCACAATAAGGCCAATATGAGACCATATATAGCACTTATATGCACATATATTTGAGTCCAAAACGTCCAGATCTCAGCCCAGATGATGCCAGATCTGCTTGAATCAAGGGAAAAATCGAACCCCTGCGGCGGGATTCCAGCCATTCACTTCATCCTCTCCATGCGATCTCGCCCTCTTCGTCCCGGGCACCGGTCGCACCAGCCAGGTGGCTCGTAGACCGGCACGGTGCCCACGGTCATGCAAATGCTCCGGACCTGGCACCGGAGCATCCTTCCTCCCCGGAGCGAAGCGCGGAGACCAGACTCCGGGACCGGACTCCGATCCGTATCTGAACTTCGAAGAAGTGCGGTCCAACTCGGACCTCGAAAAAGCATCTAAGGCTGCAAGGAAGAATCCATGAGGTACGTAAAACTAAACTAAACACATCTTGCAAAGTCCAAGTATAGTATATACCCAGACCAAAGCACTGACAATGATTTGACAGCATGCATGGATCTGAGGGACGGATCTTCCCAAAACGGCCCATATCAGGCTCAGACTGAAATCCAACCCATCTTTGATCTCACCTCACCGCCATGGGATCAGCCCGGTTGGCCCGGGTTTGTTGGGTCGAGGTGCGACGTTGACGCCCGAGCCGCGGAAGAGACTCCAGAGGCCATCCTGCAGAACCAGCCGAAAGCCGCCCACCTGCGACGGGCACGGTGGTACGGGTCATTGGAGAGATGTGTGGCCATTAGAGGGAGAAACCGTTCCAGCTATAGGTTCAGAAGCAATATCTTATCATATCTTCTTGATATTGCAATATATCATATATCTATTATACATTGTTATATGTAGATCAAAAACATCTCAACAAAGCTATGGTCCTCCCCTACTGAACCGCACCCCTACCAAGCTGGGACTTCATCCCAAGCCGCTGAGCTCCAAATGCGCTGCGGCTGCCCGCTGCGGAGGCCGGTGGTGAGCGTGCCCGCGGCGTCGGCGAGGCCGGCCTCTGCCTGGACCCTGCGCGCGGTGTCCGATTCACCGGGGTGGAGAAGGAGTGCCGCCTGATGTCCTTTTCGTTGACAGCTTTAGTGAGAGCTCCCGGCCAAAATGCCTTGAAATTGTGAGATGATGTGACATGCCCGCGGCAGTTGCATCCCAACTTGACCTCACCTGATCCCAATCTGAATTCGCCCTCAGGCGGCCTGATGCGTACCAAGTCGAAAGGGCTCGCGAGCAAGCCGGATAGGGCGCCCAGCACCACCCCTGCGCTGAACTTGCTGCCCAAGCCCGCCTTGGTTTCTTAGATGGCAATGCCTGAAACAGACCAAAACTAACTGCCTGTAAGAATTCCACTGGCTCTTGTTTAAGTGGTTGCTAAAGTTGTTTTTTGGGGGCTCACCATTGGAGCTTTAGATGGGCAGTCACCTTCCGGGCCCACAAGTGGAGCTTTAGATGGGCAGCCACCGTCCTTCACTCAAAGTTCCACTCCGAATTTGCGAAAGCCGCCTCAAACTGCGCTGCCCTGTGACTTGAGTTACTGAAGGATGCGCGGAAGCTCAAGTCTGCGCTGCCAAGGCAACTCGCCCCAAACATCGCCAAACACCCCGAAATCCTGCAGCTGGGTGGCATCTCCTCCAGCCTTGCCCTGGCAAACAGGACGTGATAGCGGCTGCTGTGAGGATCCAGGTTCACTCTGGCTCTAGAAGATGAAACGTTGACCCCTCAAAACTCACTGCTGACGTTGCCATGTCAAGACTCACCAGCAGAACCCACCCCCTTCCTCCTTCATCATTCCTGATCATCCCTACGGGAGTTCGAGACCTCCAAGCAGCTCAACCCACGTCAAAATCATCCCAAATATCCCACCTCAATGGAAAAAGCATGAAAAAAACACTTCATGACCTCCGTACTCCAAGACCCAACCACCCAAAAACAACCTCCGGACTCCTCTGGACGGCGGCCTGCGCCAGAAAGGACATGCCATCACGCACGGCTGGGTACGCACCAATGCGCGTGCCGACCACGGTGCATTCACGTCCTGAGCAGGGCGCCGGGTGAAGGCTTCGGGTGAAACACAAAGGCAATTCACATGGCAATTCACCTAATTAATTTGGTCTGAGTCTACCAGAATGCGCACGCATCATGTGCCGGTGATCCCTGGAGACGGGTGGCTAGGAAGATCCAAGAAGTGAATCAGTGATCAGTGATAAGGGCTCACACAAATGGATTCCAGAAGACAGAGGTCGACATTCCTGAGATATTGAACATTCTCTCAGCTTCTGCAACTGCATAACAATTCGTCAACATCAATGTCAGTCGCCCTCAGTCGCCCCCACAACGCCATGTGCTTGGTGCTTCATGCACCCCGGTTCACCGGGTTTTGACGCTTGATGTCCAGGATCGGTTTTGACATGTCGCTGTGAACCCCTGAGGCCGAGTCCCAAAGAGGCCAGCATGCCCGTACTCCACAGCGCCAAGACTCCTCCAGGGCAGTCTTTTCGCGTGCGATCCAGGCGCGCGATCCGGTGGATCTTGAGGTCCTCATCTAGATGAGCTTCGATGTTTCACACACATGAGGACGCGCCGAAGAATTCCACATCGAGTGAGTGCGTGCCTCAACATCCGTCTATGTTTGCAACGGGCACCTCCCATTTCGGGGTCTTCTGACGTCGCCTTTTGACGACCCGCGGGGCTCCTTCTTCGGCCAGTATTCTCCGCGCGGTCCCTGAAAAGCCGCCGTTGTAGGGCGCAGCGGTGCAACCCTGCACGGGCACTCCTGGCGACGGCGCGTGTCGAACGCTAGAGAGTTGGGAGGACAAGCACTAGATCACGTTGGACCATCCAATGGTCCAATGGAGATCCCTAAATAGTGTAGAGTGGTCCCTTGGATACCCATTCGATGGTCCCGGTCGTAAACGGTTCACTAGACTAGCAATCTCATGCAATCTCTGTGGCTTTTGGCTTTCTGAAAATCCGCCTTCGGTCTGAAAACCTGTCTTCGGACAAAGGAACACGTCTCGCGCTCCACCAATGTTCCTTTCAGCTTACCCATGCCCTCCGACATGGACTTCTGTGGATGGCGGGGAGCTTCACACATGTTCTACATCCAAATCTGCACCCGAATGGGATGGACACAGCGACCCGAGCCGTCTGCCACCCTGGCAAAGAAGGGTCAATCGGGTGAACCATGGGGTTCACCCACTGGGTTCACCCCTTTTCTTCACTGGTTCTTAGTTCAGTGGGGCGTCCCCAATTCCACAAAAATGGTGACCTGCAGGTGATCCACATACTTTCAGGATCTTTCAGGGTAGGACACCAAGGAAAAGCGGGGACCCCACTCAGGCGCGAAACACACACCGACAGCGACACCAAACACACCTTGCATGCGTGTCTTGATGACGTCCGTCCAGTTCAGCGCCAGCGGCACGGCAGTGGCCGCCACCATGGCTGCACTGATCTCTTTCAGTCGATCCGCCATGACCGTGTTCCGAGCCGCGCGCGGTGAAGACGGATCGCAGAGTGAAAAGCATTGCCATGAGTTTGTTGGAGGTTTTTTTTTTAAGTTCCATGTTGCGGCTGCTCCATGTGCCATGACCACAGAATCTGCCAAAACCAGTCAAAATCCGCTCGCAAAGTGCCACTTGCTGTGCAATTTGACCAGTCTCGTCTGCTTGTGCTTGCCAAATGAACCATCCGGCACCGCGCAACGTCAACAGAGTCACTAACTTCAGTTCCTCTCGTGTTTTCCGCCTTTGAGGGGCAACATCTTTTCAGCGGGCTGTTTGCCCCGTTTGAAGCCCAGATGGCAGCGTGCATCACAGAAGGCCAACCGATGCTCCGTCAAGACTACGAACTGCCAGGCTTATCCTCCTGATGTCCTCTTCCCTAAGAATCCGGACCATCAAACATAGGGTCTCATAGGGTTTTGAGGGCCCGGACCCTGCTATGGAGGGTCCGACCCCTGCCATGGAGAGCCCAAGGATTCTCAGGGTTGTTTGATAGATTCAATTGCTGCGAAGCGTCCCTGGTGGTTGCCAACACCCAATGTTCCAACCCCAAACAGGTGAGATCCTCATCTCTGACGGTCCGAAGGGTGTAACCAGGCCCTCTCTAGAACTTATATCACAGACGTCTTGCAAAAGCATGCCAAAGCATGAGCCATATCTCAAGTAGCTTTGAGACGTCTGAGTCTTGAACCGAACTGCACCGAAGAGTCTCATTGATGCCATCGATTCCGTCCTGCCACATATCCATGGGATCGGATTTTACTTCTTCGGAGCCGCTTCGGCGACCGGCTCACGCAGCCCGGAGCGGGACAACCGGACGCACCATCTCATCGGCACGCATCGCTCGCCGTCCCAGAGGGCGAAGGGAGGTCCAAGTGGCGCCAGATCCAAGGTGATCAACGTGTCGCTCATGGACTGCAACAAGACGGGCACGACCTGCGTAACGATCCACTGGATGTCCAGAAAAAAAAGGGGCAATTCAGATCGCCCCCCCAAAGCGAGCTGCTTCTGAAAGTGTCAGCTGGCATCCGAAAGCAGGGATGTAAAAACAAACAACTTGTCATTGTCTCTACTTATATCATGCTTATACTGTTACTTTGTGTTTGTTGCATTGTTACCAAGTGCGGGGGATCACGGCACGACGACCACCCAACAGTTGGGACCCCTTCAATGAACCAGTCGTGGGTGAATGAACCAGTCTCTGACGTTGTCTGTTTCAATCGATGTATCTACTGCGCTCCTTTAAAGAAGGCTCTGTCTTTGGAATCAAATCGCTTCCAGGCTGGAGGCCGATCCGATTAGGGAGGCCATTCCTAGCAGGTTGGAGGCCATTGCTATGAGTTTCCCTAAAAATCGAGTCCCAGTGTAAAGCGTGATGTTGGTGAGCAGCGTCCCTTCCCACCTCTGCATTCGTCGAGCCCAGCCAGTTTCCATACCTTACTCATATCTGACACGAAATGTCACTATATAATTGCCGAATCTCTTGAGGTCTTGAGGTCTTCAAGAACGCTTGGATCCCAAGCAAGTGACCTTTGAACATGTTCAATCACGGTCCATGCAGGGTGAAATTCCATGGCTTCAAACTTCAAACATCTGTTCTTGCTCCAAGACAACGTGTTTCTCTTGCAAAAGATAGGTCCCGTATACTCGCCCCGGGGCTGCCGGGATTCATGACTTCAGATCCACTCAGGTCCACCTGGTGCCCCCCGAACAACGCGAAAACCCCAAATGCGACCAACGGAGATCCCGCCCAAAAGAACAAGACCTAAACAGTAACCAAGTCACCCACACAAACCTTGCGGGGGACCTGTTTTTCTAGATAGCCCCTCATGGCCCATTTTGCCACCACCATCACCATTCATCACCTGGGCATCCTGTTGGCGCATCTCGCCAGTTCGCCACCCCCAATGCAACACCACTAGCAGGTTGGAGGCCATCGCTAGTAGGTTGGAGGCCATTGCCCCAATAATGCAACACCACTGGGGTTTTCCTCACCCCAGCGTCAAATTGAGGCTTTCCAGTTTGAGCTCCGCCGGCATCAAGGCCTGAAGATTGGTGGTGCAAACGAGTTCGCGGACGAGTTCACAGACGAGTTGGAAACAAAAGAAGATCCCTTGAGTTGTTGGACGGTGCCGGTCTGCCAAAAGGTTGGGTTCAGCCAATTTTTCGGCAAATCATGCAGGTGAGTTCATCAATATATATATAATAGAACACGTTTTTTGAAGCCTCTTCAGAGGTTTTACAATCCATGTCTGCCTGAACCCTCCGTCGTAGCAGAAAAAAGTGACAGAAAAAAAAAAAACTGCACATCATCAAAAAAAGCGTTCATGCCTTGAAAAAGCGTACCACTGGAAAGTCAGATGTAGCTTCATTCCACCTTATGTGGTCTTCAAGTCCATTCCCCTGCCACATGCTGGCACCCACCCCACGCACACACAACACACGCTCACACACTACGAAGCGGCAGCCAGCAACCCCTTTCTTTGATCTTCAGTATCAACATTAACATAAAAGATTTAAGGGAAAAAATCAATCCGCCACTTTTAAAAAAAATGCGCCCGGGTTGCGGGAATTTGCGCCCAAGTTGCGGGCACCCTTTTTGGAAAAATTGTTGTAAAGCACGCCAAAGTAGAACCAAACCTTTGTGGTTTCAATTGCACATACTAGGAGAGGTCATATAGGATTTCCACCCGGTCCATAGGGCCCCCAAAGGCCCACAAGGGTTGATAAGGACACTGGTCAGGAACCAGTAGGCTTTAGAATTTACACCACCAAAAAGAGCTCATATGTCCTGAAAAGTGTACATACCCTCAATTAACGCTCAAACTTCCAATAAGTGCTCCAAACCATGGTTCGCCAGAAATAAGTGTTACAAAGGATGCTTCAGGTGAGATTCTACATGGTGATGGTCCCTAGGGATCGAAATCCTCATGACCAAAAGGCGCTTTCGCCAGCCGCGTCTGGCACAAAACAGGTGAAACCATTTTTTTCGCCCCGGGGTCCGTGAATCATTAGCAACATGAAGAAACCCTTTTTCGACCCCAAACGCCATGTCATGTACAGCATTCCACGATTTGTTGGCCCATGGCCATCCTCCCTCCGATGTCGACCTCGCCTCGATCCCTGTGGTGCCGAGACCGTTCAGGGACAGGTCCAAGATCTTCAGCGAAGGCGCCAAGGCCGGCACCAAGGTGGCGAGACCTGTGCGGAGGCATTGTCTCGGGCCGTCAGGCCAGCGAGACGGACGGCCTGTCCGTCGAGTCCGCCTGGAAGGTCCCAAAGGTGAAGAGTTCATGAGCTCATGTTGCAGCAAAGTTTGGTACAACAAGGGTACTAAGCTGTTGAACCTAAACGTTCTGGCAAAGTCAAACTACAACATAAATATATATATATATATTTATTTATTTATATTATACATCTAAAATGACAAAATGCGTTGGATCAATTGCTGAACGCCAAGAGAAACAAAGAAGAAAACAAAAGAAAACGATCTGGTAGCACTGTCATGTGGCCTGCTGGTCCTAAGGCATTTCCTCCCAGCATCAAGACCTGCAGTGTAGGTAGCGATGGCAACCAGTTGGCCAAGACATTCGCTCCTTCAGGGTCCGGGTGGTTTTATCACTCACATGAAGGCATTGCAGCACTGCGTGGAACAGCAGCACCTCTTTTGGGCTTTCTATTGACATAGAGGTGACGGTTGATGAATAAAGCCACCCATTTGGAATGTAAAACCTCTCGATCTTGATATGAAGGAGTTTATTCATCAACAATGGTGTTTTCTTCCGAACCCTTCGCAGCCTTCCAGACCCAAAGCATTTCGGCTCAAGTCCAGATGCGTCAGCTTCTCGCTCTGGGCCCCTTCCAGTGTCAGCAGCTTTTCTGCCTGGGCCCCTTCCAAGCCGCACTGCTTCAACGCCAAAGAGCTCAAGTTGTTCCGAGCCATAAAGCACTTCACTTCTTCCATCAACTCGTCTCGCAGCACCAGCTCTTCCACCGTCAAGGACTCCACGCCTGGGCCCCAAACTCGAGGAGACGATAGAAGACCGGACTCCAACAAGGCTGCGGCCCCAAAAAACGGTGTCAACCAAAAAGCTGGACTATGTGTTTTTCTTTTTTCAATGGCTACTGGAACCAAATAAGTCACTTTCGCAACCCTTCACCTGCATCGTTGCCACCCCTCAGCACCGCAAACAGCAGCTCCACGCCCTCGCCCGCGGGAATCGCTGCGTCCGTGGTGGACGCGCGGACGGTGAGGCGCTGCAAAGGAGCTTGGTGGCGCTGCAAGAGCTCCAGCAGCTCCGATGCAAAGGCCCAGAAGCTACGAGTGGAGCCCACGAAGGTCACCTGGCCGGAGGGCGTCAGCGATGTACATGCGCCCGGAGTCCAAAAAGTATATGTTGACTGACTGAAACAAAGAACAGTCCTGAACTCGGGTCGCCAAAAAGCAAGTCTTTTTGTGGTCGTTGACTCCCAGGGTATAGGTTCTGAAAAAAGGCTCCGAAAGACCCTTCCCAACCATCATGGAAGTGGGCAGCCCCCCCTCTTGGCAGAGGAAAGGAAGATAGCCTTCTAAGAGGCCATTGTCCACTTTGATGATTGTTGCGGGGGGAGTGATCTACACTTCAATACTCTTCAATGACAATGAGTTAGACTGTTACATACACGATATTGTTTTGATCGAGAGTGGGCGTTTGAGATCTGCTTCAGGGGCCCTGAGTTGGGTGAGAGACCGCCAGAAAGCTTGGGAAGTGGAATTGCGGGTTCAGCACCATACCTGTGGGTCACAAAGCTGGGGCCTCCCAACAGCAGGTCAAGGAAACAAATCTGATACATCTACAACCTCAATCAAACAGCCTGTGAGACCCTATCCAGTACCCTTTCGTGCCCCGGTGTCATCAAGATCCCACTGCCGGTGATCGACCTCCATTGCTAGCTGTGGAACAGGAACCTGGTTGCTCCTTACAGCTTATACTTCAAGGTGCAGAACTGGCTGACTCCCTGCATTTCCCTGGAAAATGCAAGTTCACATTCCCAAAAAGCTCGGCTCAAGGTGTTCCTGACCTGGAGAAGGCCTGTGCATTCCCATGCAAACACCTGGATCATCGCTCCCTCCACCAGCACCGGACCGCCACGGCCTCGGTCGTCCCGGCCTCGTCGAGGCGCCGGAGCCACGGCGCCGCCCGGCGCAGCGCCGGCGGCGGGATCCGCGCCGCGCCGTCGGAGACGGTGAGGCGACGGAGGTGCTGTGCGACCAGGACGGTCCACTCGGAGGAGAGGAGCGTCAAAGACCAGGCCTGGTGGTGATGTTTGGAAGGAAAAAGGAGTGAAAATGAGAGTTTAGGAGTTGAGCAGGTGCCCAAACACCTCTGTTGGGTTGTGAAGTGATCCGCGAACAAGTTGGCAACTGTATGCTCCGGACTGTACGCGGCCAGGCACCTCGCAGTGCTCCAACTACATCCCCAGAGAGTCTTTAGGTATATCGCATGCCTATATAGTAGCGGTGGATGAGGATGAGGATGAGGATGAGGATGAGGATGCAATGATGATGAGGATGAGGATGCAATGAGGATGAGGATGAGGATGAGGATGATGATGATGATGATGATGATGGTGGTGATGATGATGATGATGGTGATGATGATTCCTGGTAGTAAAGACCTTTCTCATAAGAGTGATCATCTTCGACTGACTCGTATGGGTAACGGGACACGCCCTAGTTAGACGCCCAAAGTGCCCTTTTGCAGCTACCTCATGCACCAGCAGGACCACAACACCGAGCCTAGCCTCACGCTGCGGCAGGAAGGACAACGTGCGGCTGAGCACTGCTGCATCCAACTGTGCGAGAAATTCCATCGGACAATCAGCAACTTGGCCAACGTCTGTCTATCAAAAAGTTCATTGTCACTAGTCACTATGCCCCAGAATGATTGACATAGTGGCCTGTGAATCACAGGCCAACGTAAGAAAATGCTTGCCATACGCGCTGAGACATACTAGACTAGACCAAGCATTTTGTTTGGGTCTAGTCCCTGGCAGCTGCGGACATCCTTTTCGAGTGGTGACTGGAAAAAGGGGGAGAGGATGCCCAGTCTGTGAATCAGTTGTTGCCCTAACTTTGCCAAAGCTTTGTGGCTCGGTGGCTTGGGATGTTGCTACAGGGCTGCATCACGGTTGCCGTTGCTGGACATGACATGACACGAAAACATCGACAGCGGTCCAGAGCAGGGCAGGGCCCGAGGCCCGCCATTTTCCGTTTTGCATGTTTTGCACAGAACCGGGTTTGACGAAGAACGACCCCAGGGTTGGATCCAGAACCAATTTTTTGCACTGCCAAAACGTGAAAATGCTGATGTCCACTAGTCACTAGAGTCACTAGAAGCAGAATGCCAGGGCCCAAGTCAACCAACCAGAGTGACAAACCTTTGAACGCTTTGTGCTATCTAGCAGCTAGCATGTACATTCAGCAAATGAACAGTTCGCACTGCTCACCACACCAAGATATTTCGGTTGAAAGCCGTCGTGAAAGCCTTCACCAATCAGCTGGTCTGCCGGTCTGACGTCCCCCCCCGATCTCACTCTTCAATCGCCTTCCATTCGGAGCGTTTCGTCGCATGAACCTGAACTGGTGCTTTGCACCGGGTTCATGTTCGGAAGACTCGCTTCGATGTGTTTCGATCTGGCCACCCCAACCGCCCCAACTCCTCAAGACCTGGCCTTCCCCCCCCACAGAATTGTGGTTGAAAACACTGCCCGAGTTGCGTGGCAGTAAGTTCCCCAAATCATTGAGTGCTTTTGTTCTTGTTGAGTAGGATCCGGCCTTTGAAGTTTTCTTTGAGCCTTGCAGTGCATAGGTCAGCCTTTCGTTAGCCGTCCGGCCGTCGTGGGAACCGTGGCAGGGACGACCAAGGGCCCCTGGGGCCAAAACACACAAGGGTGGCACATGCCATCGCACCTCTAAAGCCAAGTGATACACCTCTTCAGGCAGATTGAGGTTCATCAGCGCAAAGGCCCATGATGACTCGCTTTTTGAGCCAGACGCTATGCAAAGCCTCCTTGTTCTTGTGCGTGCAATCCGCAAAAGAATGATGGGGGTGCAGGCCTGAAATGGTTCAGGCACAAACCAAGCCTGCAAAAGGTATGTCAATCCTTTTTAGGGGTTCAGGAACGGATTTTTTTTTCAAAATATCCTAACAAACCACCAGACGTGCCACAAGGTGGATCTTGTGCTTGTCAATGGTACATTTAAAAAAAAAACAAAAAACAAAAACATATGTCGACATGTCCTCCAATCCCTGCAACTGCATCAGGCCCATAAGGGGACCCTAGTGTGTGAATGGGGAAGCGGCCCTCCGCAGGGGCTTGATAGGCCTTTGCACTGCCACTGCCCTCACTCAGGTGCACACTCCGCCGAGGCCACAAATTGGCACAGTGTGAAACGATGAGTCTTTTAAGAATTCGACTCTGCGATGGAGCCTCTCGCGCGCAGCTTCACAAGTCTTATGGCTGCCTTATCTTTGCTTCTTGCTTGCCCAATGACGCTTCTGACGTCCCATTGACCAACGGGGATGCTACTTTGGGCACATGTCTGCCAATGCTGATCGACCTGTGCTCCATCGGCAGGTGCGAGCGTTCCCACGGCGGGATGGCAGCCGTGCCATAGCCATAGCTCTTGAGCTTCACCAAAACCTATTCTTCGCGTTCAGCTGACCCCCCCTAGCAGAAAAATAAAGACTTCGAATATCAAATGATCAAAAGATCTGCATACATCTGCTATCAAAAATTCCATCAATCTTGACTCCTGACTCATCGCTTGAACTGCTAGGCTGTTGGCAGCACGAGCTTCCCGCTCTCTTCAATCCCGCTCGGTGGCGGATACATCACATACTGGATCGAGGTGTCGTTGATCTTAGGATCGAGGACAGAGTTTTTGTTGGGCGGAATGCCTTCACCAAAGGAACTGCCACTACTCGACCTTCACATCTCACCTTCGCGTCTGAAACCTCTTGTCGGCCCAGATCTTAGGGCTTTGTGGCTAAGGCGTTGATAACAAATCTGCAAATGGAAGACACACACGCACAGAGATATGTATCATATATAGTAATACATTGTACTATCACGTGGTGTGGTCGCGAGCCCGCCAAGGTGTGCATGAACGTCATGTATAGAGACGGGGGTCCATCAAGCAGTTCAGACTCTGCTAGTTCGATTCCCTTCTTATGTTTCTATTTTGATGGGGGGGCCATGTTGGGATATCGGTCGCGCAAAGGGAACCGGACAAAGACACCGCGGTGTGTAGACACCGCGTGGCCCCGTTTGTCTTGTGGAGTGGTGCGCTTCGGGCCCCGAAGAAACGGAACACGCGCGGAGAGTGGTGCACAGAAGCGACGATCCAACACGCCTTTCGATCGCCTCATTCCAGGACCCCTGCACCACTGCAGATTCCCCAGCCCAGCCACGTCCATCCACCCATCCGCATCGCCGCACGCATCGCGCGGCGCCCATCCGGGGCACGCAGTGCCGCTGCCCCGTGCGCTTGGCGCCCTCGTCCGGATCGAAGATGTGGCCCAGGTGTCCCTCGCAGGACGCCTGGGAGGACATCGTCGGCGTCGGGCCGGGTCGGGGTTACAGTGGCACGGTGCGGAAGTTAGAGATGTCGAAAATGACATGTCTAATACCCAGACACGACCCGTCTGGGACTGCTATATATGCCGCCCCATCGGGGTGGTTTCAGGGGTCAATGTATAGGCATATATGGCCCACATGGAGTGTCTGGGATAGGATTATCTAATGATCTGATTGCCGAATATATATATATATATACCCTGAACTTCAAACGTCGCTAGTTTCTGAAGACATTGATCTATGTCGAAGTTTAACTTAGACATGGCACGAAGACGAAGTTTAACTTAGACATGGTTCCTCAACAATCAACCCAGTTCCCACCAGATGTTCTTTTTTCCTATTTCTCATCGGCGTTCACCTCGCCGCGCCGCTTCGCGGACACGCCAAGTCAACGACAAGTACCGCAATCTTGCCAGTCTGATTATGCCCCAGAGCTTGCCACCCTTTGTTTTCAGCTTTCCTTTGCTGTCAGCCTTCTTGGACCAACCTTGGCAGAAAACATTAGAACCACTAAATACCGGACTTATGAACCACACCAAATGAGGCATGGCACCTTTTTAGAACTGCACCACACCAAATGAGACATGGCACCTTTGAGAACTGCCATCATATCCTCGTCACAGAAAGTGTGATAGTAACGGGGGTTGCAACCTCAAACAATCAGTGTGGTCCATTCCAAACATATAACCTCATGATAGCACTCACGCAAAATTCACTGCCACCGTGAGACGTTGTTCACGGACTACCGTTTGCAACATCTCTGCCATGGCCTCGACTTCCAGGGTCCGCAGATGAACTGGAGTAGAGTAAGGTGCAAGAAAAGAACAGACATTAGGGACAAGATGCATGCCACTTGGGGATCATGGTCCAGCAGAGCTCAGATCTCCTCAATAAAACACGATACAACTGAAAGGACGAAAAACACATTCATGTGATCTAGCTGGGGCAGCTCCTGATAGACATGCGGTTCAAGTTCTGATAGGACTCCAAAAAGGTTCGCCCGGCTGCTTCAATTTCACGAGCTTCGAGTCCAGACCTGGTTTTTTGTGACATGTTAAAGATCCAGGGAAACTGGTACCAAAAAACATAGGATTCATGTGTCCAGCACGTGGCCACGCCATGGAACACCATCTTTGAGCCGGGCTTCAATTCCCTCGAGGACTGCTCCGTGAGGGAGAAATAGCGATTGATACCTTTCCTCCACTCTGCGCCAGAGTAGCACCAAAAAAAACTATGTCTGAAGGTCCATTGGATTTACCCACCCATGTTTCAAGGAAACCAAATATATATTGAATATGATCCAGGGCTCACCGCCACCAGGGAAAGATAGGATCTCTCGTCTTGTAGAAGGCCCGGACACGGAGCAGTATGCGCCAATTCTAGCTCATGCTCCAGCCACGCAGATATCACCCTAGCATTGTAGCCTTTGGTATTCAAATATGTTCCAAACTCCTCTTTGAAAATCATCCAGTAAGTGAATCTGCGTTGGCTGGACGATACTCGGTGCGCAGTCTTCCAAGCTTCAAAGCGTTGGTAGGCTTCCCGACATGCATTTCTGTAAGCAGCCGGTTCACCATGATACGGTACAGGTAGGGTACCAAAGTGGTTCATGTGCATGAGCATTGCCCTTGGTGACTTAGTGTTTGGTCAGGCAGGGAACACAGTCTAGTCTAGCCCATGAGATACTTTGGTCCTTTGTTCGAAGAGTTTCTCATCAAAACCATTTTTGATTGCGATCCCAAATCTGCAAACAAGTCACAAGGCCGAGCCATTTGACACATGGACCAACCCCAGATTCAATATATGTAATGTGCAGTGCTTCAAAGAGTGAATCGAGAAGAAATGAACATCCGTTAGTGGGCCTCAGTTGGTCAGTTCTTTGGGTTGAACATGGTTGCATGGTTGCGACAAAAACGCTAAAGAATCACACAATGATCCCAAAAGAACACACAGGTCAGTACTAAGTGCTCAAAAACCAATGAATATTCCAAGGGACTAAGAGTATTTGGTAGTTCGTTGATGATGAACTGTTTGGTAGTGTTGCGACATGTCGACCCTGCATCATACAAAGCGTAGCAATCCCTGTCCGGCTTCGTGTGCGCGCCACACCGAAAGCATACATTGACGGAGTTCCAGCGTGCCTTGTGTTGAAACAGAAAATAGAGCCAAGCCTGGTCACCCCGAACTTCTGTGAGGATGAACTTGCGGTTTCCCTCGCCCACGCCGGATTCCGTGCAACGGTTCAGCGACGCAACCACTCTCTCCAATATTGGATTCACGGTTTGGATCACATCAACCAAACTAGCACTTTCCAGCGCAAACATCAGAAACCTGGATATTCTTGTCGACTTGGGCCGGTAGATTGGTATATTGAGAGTCATTCCAATGATTTTGCTGTATGGCTGACTAATGATGCCCATGTTGGCTTCGTCGCCGTGTATGCCAAGAGGATACACTTGCTTGTCCTGTAGGTTCCTGAATTGCTTGGAATCAACCGCAACTTCATCATTGTGTCGCTCTAGGTGGTCCCAGTATTGTTGGCATCTCCGTTCATCGATGTCCAAGTCGCATTTTGTCAAAAGAAACTCCAGGATTTGTTCAGGAAGAATGCACGGGACAGCTGTAGTCACAATCTCATCCTCTCCTGTTTTCAACTCAACATCCACCATGCACGACTCCTTACACATCCACATGTTTTGCATGTTGTTTTTCACAAGTATGTGCATGCATAAATAAAACCTCATTCATTCAGTCCCAAAGGCTAAAGGGAGAGGCATACGTGCAAACAGGTCCCTTGAGGCATTCTTCCCACACGCGTACCCCGCAATCTTCGAAGTCCACCTTGTCGTGTTGCCACGCGCTTCCTGCGCGAGCACATGAGGTAATCTTGCCAAGACAGGGAGCGAACAGTTCTTTCAGCGTGAGTTCATTAAATTGTTTTTTAGAAAAGGGTCCAACAATTCTTTCAAGCTCATTCAATGTGGACTCATTGGTGAAAAACTTCACTCTGTCCTGGCATGCTGCCCGGATGGAGTTCACCGAGGATCGTGCCGAAGCAGCCTCAACGCAGTATCCCACACGAGACTATACACAAATAAGACATACCGAGTCTAGTATGCATACAAGGGACACTGGATGCAAGTTGCTCCACTGTGTTTCGCTGAATCGGTCCAACCACTTCGTCCTCGATGAAGTCACCTGCATTGGGTGGGTGTACGATTTCGTGATTTCACCAGTTTATCGGTTCACCAAGTGGTGGCACAATGCACTCAGTGTTTGTTCTTTCACGCTCAGAAGTTCTATGAGAGCCTTTGTTGGCCCATCCCACCTTTCAAGCCCGACACCGTGTGCGACATAGTGCATGTTTTGTTGGATAGCGAAATCAAACATAAACACACATGTGTGTGCACATATCATTTCACACTCACAATGCCAGGCAGTCTAACGCTAGCATTTACCAGTGTAAGCCCTGCTTTCCCCACAGCCTTTGGCTGCACCCACGTGCAGAGACACACTGGCAGAATTGCGGCGATCAGCGCACGTACAAAATCAAAAGCCCATCACATTGACCCAAATCACCAAACCAATGTCTAAAAGGACTAAACTACTCAAATTGCAATTCATGTGTCAGTCTAAGTCTAGTCTACAATCGAGACTTACCTCACTTTGTTTTCCTGGGCTTTTTGCTCTTCCGAGGTTCACATGCCTTTTCAAGTTCCTTACGGGTGGACTCAACCTTGCCAATCAGCTCTTCCGAAGCCTGGATCATTTGTCAAGTGTTTCAATCTCAACTCATAACACTCACCGGGTCCGATCATGCCTCCGACTTGTCCAAGGCGTTCTGAAGGGAAGTCCTGGCCTCCTGAGGTTGTCTACAAAACAAAACTCCGAAATGAGATCAATGAGATCCTGAAAATAACACCGGTGTCCTCCAGTGCCTTTTGTTTTTCGTCGACGTCCCCACTCACAGATGATGCGTACTTATCACCCCTGGGCGAAACAATCAACAGCAAACAGTCAAAACATTCCAACAGGAGCGAGCAGACCCTAAAAGGTAATTTTTGGAGGTGTCCGTTTTATAGCCCTAAAAGCTCCTAAACCGAATAAAAACGGACACCTGCAAAAATGGTCTTGGTTAGTAGGTGATCTTAGTCGCTGACAGATTTGCCAAGTTTGGCTTCAAGTCCACAGCCCACTTAATCTTTGAACTGGCATCAGAGATAGCCTGTGCGACCAAATGTTGAACAATGTTGAACACACAATCAAGATCCTTGATCCTTTCTTTCTCATCCTTATCTTTACCCTCCTCCGCTTTGTCTTTGGGCTTTGGCTGTGTCTTGTCTTTCTTCTTATTTTTCTTGCTCTTGTTCTTGGCCTGTATGTCAACAAGCAACTGTTTTTTGTAATATAACTCACTGAGTGAGGCAGCGCATCCGTGAAGTACGTATATGACCAACCATTGATAGATTCTAGATCACCCAGAGCTGGCATAGGTTCAATTATTCTCGGCTTTAACACCTGCCCCACCTTGTTTTTCTTGTTCTTTGCTTTCTTGTCCTTCTTCTTCTTTTTCTTTGATTTGCTAGTAGAGCTTGAGCTTTCACTTGATGATTCGTCAATGCAATTGAACAGTCTGTCAATGCTTTCCTCCACCTCGGTTTCCTGGTCTTCCTCGACCAACGTTAAGAACTGCATCATCTCCTGCATTCCAACATAAGTACTAAGTACTAGAGGCGCTAGATGCAAGCTTAAGTTTGAAAAACTCCCACTGGACTGAGACCCCGCCTGGGAATCTGGAAGTTCTGGGTGGCGGCGAACTTCTTTCTCTTTCAGCTCTGGATCCAAAAGCTTACGGTTTCTGATTTGCTCCGCTAACTCTGGACCAAATCGTTCGTCCATCTCTTTGGCCGTCAGCCAACGACGGCGGCCCCGAACTTTCGAGACATGGCGAAGTTTCACATTCTGATAAAAGGTTGACTTCGTCCACTCACCTTCACAACTTGCCCAGGCCTCATAGAGGATTGAGTTCAAGCTGGAGCCTAGCAAAGGCAATTCATATCAATTCAAGATTCATAGGAAACTCACAACTTCCCACTTGGTTGAAGAATTGTCAAACAAAAAGTTTCCCTGGGAACCTTTTCTGAATAAACAACTGGTTCCCAGGGTCACTTGTCAGCAGCAAATGTAATTTGACAAAGAAACTCCAATGCTATATCGAGTAACTTCCATTAGCTTCCTTGGCCATTGCACGGATCTCCTTTGGAGCAGTGGGGCCTAAGTTGTATTTAATGAGCCCACATGAACTCTCCATAACTGTCCATGTCTGTTGTGTTATTTAGCGAACCCAAATGTCAAGATGATACCAGCTCTAAGTTCCACACTCCGAATGTTGCGCCAATACCGCATGTAACTCGCATGTGCTTTTTTTTTCTTCTCTGACATTTTATTTATCTCTTCATCAGTCTTCTTTTCAGCTTCAGTTTTCTCACCTTTGTCCTTATGCTCACCATTCCCAACATCAGCTGTCTTCTTTTCCTGGTCCGTCGGGTCCATAGACTGAGAACCTGCAGCATTCGACCGAGCCCCACTTGTGTCAGCCTGCGCCTGAGTCTCTCGAGATTCAGCTGGAATGTCTGGAGGTTTCTCAGGCTGGTCAGTCTTGTTCAGACCCTGAGGAGGTGCATCATGTGAAGGTGTATTGGCCTTGGGTGCGTTGCACTGAGCTGAAGGATCCCCGACAGGAGCTGGCTGGGGTTGCTGTGGTGCAACAGCAACCTGTGGACTGGCATTCACATGGCTAGGGTCCTTGGGCTCATCAAAGGAGTCAAGGTTGCGAAGTTCAGCCGAATTGGCTCTCAACACAGATTGGGCCCAGGCAAGCTCATCCGTATGACTGCTCCTGACAGACAATGGAGTTCCTGGCTGGCTATGCGTCCTTCGTTGGTCCCAATCCTTGTACTTGTACTGGTGATAGTATGACGAAGGGTCCCAATAAGCATTGTGGTATTCGCTTGGTGCCCACCCGTACGGGGGCCAATCCCAATCATCCCATTTGCTTTCCTCATACTCACGCCACTGGCTCACACCACCAGTGTAGTAGTCATCCAAATCCCTCCGATCAGTGTGTTGGGGCATACCACCACCCTCGGCGTGCCACGGTACAGTGCTTTGAGAGTCAGATCTCACGACACTGGACTCACGGGAAGTCGGAGTACCTATTTGGCTGGTATCATCGGGACTTGTTCTATCGCAACGACCCTCAGCCTTTTTCTTCACAACTTTCTTGATGACCACAACCTTTCTT